TAAATAAATAAATAAATAAATAAGTGGGTGGTGTCACCTCTCTTTCTCACTCTTATCTTCTCCGTCCCTTCCTATTTATGAGGCTGGTTTAGGGCCACTAGATACCTCTTGCCAGAACACTGATATTAAAGAGGGCTTTTTAAAATTAGGCTGAGGGTACTGGAGATCATGTGCCCTATGTAGAGCAGGTATAGAGGCAGACCTGAACATTGCTCAAGAGACAAAACACTGCCTCTATTTTCTTTTCAAGTATACTGCACACCAGGGTCCTCCAAGCTTTTCAGAGTGAGGGCCACAACATACATGTTCCACATTTTCGAGGGCTGAAGGAAGATGCGCACACATGCATACGCACTCACGCTGGGCTGGATAAAAAGGCAGGGCGGGCTGGATGTGGCCTCCGGGCCATAATTTGGAGACCCCTGCTGTACACAAATAAGGCATGTCATCTCAGCTTCCCAACCCCCTTACTGCCTGCCTGCAAAGGGTCCATTCCTGATTCTTCCCAATTCCTATACAGCAGATCTTCAGAAACTTTGCTTTTCTCCTAGGTACATCTCTACAACTTCCTTGCTGTTTGTATGTTTTTTGTGCTGACTTCTCATTTCTGCCTGGACACAACCCAGTCGAAATCCATTTCACTTCCAAAATAGAAGTGCATTAAAGCATAGCCATACTTACCCCAGATGTCCATTTCAGGTTTTCCCGCTGCCCTTTGTGCAGCAGTAATTCTTCTTACTTTCCGACCAGTGAGGGCAAAAGGGATATAGTTTGTCTCTCTCATGTCCCTTCTCTCCCCTAAGCTAAACATACCTAGTTTTTTTAGTCTTTTTTTCATAGGATTTAGCCTCCAGTCCCCTTATCTTCTTTGTTGCTCTTCTCTGCACCCCTTCCAGGGCCTCAGCATCTTTTTTTGTATTGTAGTGACCAGAACTGGGCACAGCACTCCCAAGTGTGGCCTCACCAGTGTGGTATAGAGCGGTACTATCACTTCCCATGATCTTGGTGCTATCCCCCTGTTGATGTTGCCTAGGACTGTCTTGGCAGCTGCAGCACACTGCTGACTCATCCTTAGGTGGTGGCCCATCAGGACAACAAAATCCCTTTCACAGGTACTACTGTCGAGCCAGGCACCACCTATCCTGTACCTGTGCATCTGGTTTCTCCTGCCTATGTGCAGGGCCTTACCTTTCCCCCCACTGAACTTCATCTTATTGGATAGGGCCCAGTGTTCAAGTCTGTCTATGTTGAGTCTATCTTCCAAAGTATTAGCAGTTCCCCCCAGCTTTGTGTCTGATGAGTGCTCCTTCAATCCCCTCATCCAGGTCTTTTATGAAGACGCTGAAGAGCACTGGGCTCAAGACAGAACCTTGAGGGACCCCACTGCACACACTTCCCTGCATGTAGATGTGGTTCCATTGAGGACCACATATTGAGTGCAGTTGGTCAGCCAGCTGCAAATCCATCTGGAAGTTGTACTGTCTGTCCTACTTTGTTCTATCTTACACAGAAGTAGGTTGTGGTCTACCTCATCCAATGCCTTACTGAAGTCTAAGTCTACTATATCCACTGTGTTTTTTGGTCCACTAATTTAGTCACTCTATCAAAGAAGGCAATAAGATTTGTTTGGCATGAACTGTTCTTGTAATCACCTTGTTATTTTCTAGGTGCTCATAAATCTGCTGCTTGGTCATTTTTTCCAAGATTTTCCCAGGTATTGATGTCAAGCTGATTGGTCTGTAGTTTCCTGGATCCACTTCCCCCCCCCCTTTTTTTGGAGATTGGAACCACATCAGCTCTTTTCCAGTCCTCTGGCAGTTTGCCCGTGCTTCAGGACCTCTCAAAGATTTCATTCAGTGGTTTTGAGATCACATCTGCGGTTCAATCTTGTCTTTGATTAGCAGTCTGCCCTTAATAAATAAACAAACATGTATCTTATGCAGTATACAACTACTTGTGTACATCTTTTTTTAAAAGAAAAAGCAAAAGTGCAAGAATGGGAATAATGGCCATAGGTATCACACTAAGCTTTTAAACTCCGGATCTGTTGCATGCCAGATTTCAAGTAACAATGGTCTTGACGTCTGTAATGATTAAAATGTGTGCTACTATTGTAAAATATGTGCTACTATTGTGAAATACTATTTAACTGCATTTTAATATTATAATTTATGGGGAAAATCCTATTCTTGTAGTTAAGTTGTTGTAAATCAGACATTAGCACCATAAATGATAAATATAAATGAATCAAAGCTTCCTACACACCCCTCCAGTTTCTGAAGCTCACTAGAGTGAAACATCTAGAGTGAAACATTACTCACTAGAGTGAAACATTTCCCTAGGGAAACATTTGGGAACCTTCGGATTTTGCCTATTATGTTTTTAGTTGTATATGGTTTTCATCCTTTTGTAAGTCAGTGTGGGTCCTTGCTTTGGGAGAAAATGATATTCAAATAAAGTGAAATAATGAGGAAAAATTTTAGAGTTAACCTATTGTTTTAAGAGATGGGAATCTTAAGCACAGACTTTTTGTATGTAATTTTCTTTTGTTTCCCTGTCTTTGCTGCCCTCTTCCGTACCTGCCACTTGAATGATCCTCAGCCAGCCATCCCCCAAATATTATGAATTTTATACATACGCAGGTATTAAGAACAATATAAATTAACAGTTTGTGTTTAAAAATATTTTTGTTTCCTTAGTTAACAAAAGAACTGTCAAAATGTTTGTCCTGCTCAGGAAGCAGTACTGGTGAACAAGAGAAGAGAGTTAGGGAACTGTGCATATCTTACTGCCTACATCATGCAGGAATAGAATAGAAAAGTATAGATTGATATTTGGCTGTAACAAAGCAGGTCCAAAAAATTAGCCCAATGATGAAGTCCCCTTGGGTACCCTTATTAGGAGAAAGGCAGCTGATCAAGCAAGCAAGCGAATGAATGAATGAATGAATGAATGAATGAATGAATGAATGAATGCTCAGCTAAACTCAACTGCTGGTCCTAATTAGAGTGTACCTATTGAGTCAAATGGGACTAATCTTATAAGTTCAAATCATTCAATGGTTCTATTCTGAAACATAAAAAGTTGTTGGAATGACAGTTGGCTAGCTACCTCTTTTCTTAAGAATGCCTGCTTTGTACTCCGCAGATAAGAATAATATGGAAATAGAGAAGCATTGCAGTGTTTGTTGAGTTGGAGCTTCTTGTTTGCAGATCTTGGATCTGTTTTTCATATGAAGGGTACAGCTATGTATCCAGTTCTAAATCTTATTTCAGATTATTTTATACTTTGAAAAAGATTGTGTTACAGACCTGGGGAAACTCAGTGCAAATGTAGAGGCATCGCTTCCCGCTTATGAATTGTTCTGCAATTCATAATTCACAATTCGTAATTCACAATTCGTGGCGCAGTAGTTAAACTGCTGTACTACAGCTAAAACTGTGCTCACGACCTGGGGTTCAATCCCAGGTAGCCGGTCAAGGTTGACTCAGCCTTCTATCCTTCCGAGGTCAGTAAAATGAGTACCCAGCTCGCTGGGGGGGGGGCAATGTGTAGCCTGCATAATTAACTTTTTAATCACCCAGAGAATGCTTGAAGCGCTATGGGGCGGTATATAAGCAGTGCACTTTGCTTTTAATAAGCTTTTAAATGTTTTTGGTACTGTCATTTCAACAGAGTGCTGCCACGCTTTGGCACTTCTGAATCTCCCGGATATGAATGAACTCTTGCAACTAATAAATGGTATGAAATAGTTTTATGTTTCCTACTGTGTATGTCTTATCTCTTGCTGTGTATGTCTCTTGTTGAGCCAGGAAAAATAACTTATTAGGAGGAGTTTGTTTGGTTTTTTAAATATTGGAACTTTTCTGCTTTTTCTGCATGAGGCACTGCTCTAGAAACCTATTTCAGATCATGTATTGCCTCTATACCTCTGCAGCACGTAGATGGTATTTATAAAATCCCATCTTTTTGGCATTCATGTTTGAAATGTGTCCTGTGTGTAGGACTGACTTGTGCAGTTCTTGAGATTTTAGAGAATTGTATTTTATCAGATGTATGCATGTGAGACTCTGAGGCTGTAGGCCCATATTCAAACCGATTAGCCAACATGTGGAAATCGGAGGTGTGTGTTCCTGATCTTCCACTGTATGTGAGCTAAGCATAATTCTAGCAGTTTCTTAATTGGTCCACACAGCGGAGAGAACCCTTTAGAGGTGTGGGCTACCTCTGCATCATAGAAGGCCGTATCCAGTCCCATAATTCCTGTGCCAAAATATTTTTCTTAATTATTTTTCAGTGAGAAAGCCCCCTTGCCCCTCTTTTTCTGGCCAGTTTTGGAAATTAAAAAATCAAAGACATTCCAACTGAAGCCCCACAAGCAAAGCATATCCAGAATACAAGGGGTTTTTCTGAGGGAAAGATTTTAAAATGTGGTTGAATTGGGGCCCTGTAGAGGGCTGTATTTGGGTTCCTGTATAACCCAGAGGCCAAACTATGCCTACTCTGGTGTATTATATAAACCACTGGAATAATTTGGTTTCATTGTAATGAGTCCAAAGCTCTCTGGTGAGAAATGTCGACAGTTGTTGTATCACACACACAGGAAGTGTTAGGATGTTTGGGTCACATCACACATGGGACCATTCTGTTCCTGAGAACCGGAAGAGTTTCCCCAAGATCCTCACTCTTGGGTTTTTGTGGCATGGAACATTAAAATGGTTCTTGCAGAGATGGTGGTTAATGTTGCTGATGGCTGAGTATGTCAAATAAAGATACAAGAATCAGAAGTGTGTTTTTTGTTTTTTACTATTTTGTGTTATTGATTCTGGCCACAGAATCAGAAATTGATTCAAGAATTGATACATTTCCTGGCTCAATGCTTTTTTACAGGTCAGCGACAGCCTATTGCAGTTAATGGTCCTAGTCATGCCAGTATGTTTATTTAATGAACACTTTCAGTGCTTCTTACTGGTGCTTTTGTGTTTATTTTTAATTAATTAATTGTTTGTTTATTTCTATTTTATCCCACCCAGCTAGTGGCAAGGCCACTTATTCTGGACATGAACAAATAAAAATAGCACAATATACATAACAAAACTAATAATAAAATTTGCATAAAACAGACAATGGACATAATCAGAGGGTGTGAGGCTTTGTGTCATCAATACACTGATGACACCTAGCTCTACATCTCCTTTTTTCCAACAGGAGTGGATGCCATTGTAACGACCAAGGTCCCCCCTAGAGGTTACCTAGTCGGCGGACAGAGAGTAATTAGGAGTTTGCCCACCCTTATGGTGCTGAGTGAGTCCTGGATCTCAGCAAGGCGTGAGCCAAACACCTGC